GGCTGCTGACAAAGGGCTTTGATGTCAGCAGGGGAGCGTCCAGACTAGTGTGCTGAGCGGACAAACAGCTGATCAGCTGTTTGTCAGCTCAGCGCGACAGCCATGTAAATGTAAATGAAGCCGTGATCATTTAAATCGCGGCTTCATTTGCCTTTGCCTATGTGTCTAATCTACAATCTATGTGTCTAATCTTCATTTGCCTTTGCCTATGTGTCTAGACACAGCCCCAGAATCAGGTGTATAAATCGGTTAGATTAACTTATTTTTTGATATTTTGAGTAAACCAATTATTATTTTCAAATGTTGCATTTGTAATACTCAGTTATGCTCAGTGAATGAAGAAAGATTATAACATGTCTAGTAAATTTTTTTATGAATACTAGTTTAATTTGTGCCTTTCACCCATTTCTGATCCATTTTGACTGGCATGTGATTTTTTTCTGAATCTAAAAGCATTTTCTACTTCTGAAATGCACAAGGTGTTTTTATGATGAAAAGGCAGTCCAGACCTGTCAATGAGTTTTTGAACTAACTTTATTTTTAAAAGAGAAATTCAGGAAGTACTGCAGCAACCTCGTAAACAAAGCCTATTTGAGATGGCAAAGATCTCTCGTGGAGGGCTGTTCAGAGAAGATAAAGTGGAAGATGTGAAAGCCCTTGTCAAGATTATCCCTGTCTTTTTGGCTCTGATACCTTACTGGACCGTGTATTTTCAAGTGAGTGATTCCAGTGAAACAAATACTATAACTTTACATTTTCAACTCTGCAATTAGAAGCTCTGTAGATGCTATAATAGGATCACAACTGTGAGTTTAGATCATAAAAATTCATTCCTCTGAAGGGGGGGGGGGGGGGAAATGTTCCATTTGCTTTTGTTAAATAAAATAGTTCAACATGTCCATGCCTAAAATTCTGAGAGAGGCTGGAAATCTAACAATTTTTGCGTAGCCTTATTTTTTGTGGACTAGCTGACTCTTACACGATATACACTGTTAGTTTTAGGGTTTATTCCAAAGTAGTTCTCATAGATGTATGTTTGCTAGTACAATTTAGCTAAAATTATGTAACAAGCCAGTGATTAGTAATGACAAAAACGTTTGCTAGCTCATTGGCTTTTTAAGCAAAATGGTCATGGAGCAAGGTTTACCAATATGTCCTAGTACAGGTTGCACATCCCTAAAGTGGGACTCTCTGGTCTGGCAACTTGGATGTTCCTGGGCCACAGAGCCCAGAACAGGGAGTGCTGGTGGCAGGGATGGGAGCCCCTTGGCAAGGGGAACAGGCACTGCAGCAGGGAACTCATGGACCTGGTGGCTAGGGAGCTCCCTGGCCAGCAGTGGCTGGGGGAACCCCTGGCTCCTCTGATGGCTGGATTGGAACCTGAACATGGTTCAGTGGGCTGGCCACAGACCATGAGGGGAGACAGGCTGGAAGGCCAAAGGCAGGGGGCCTCCCCTGGTTCAGCAAAATCCCCTTATTCGGGACTAGTCAGGTCCCAAAAGTTCCAGACCAGGGAGGTCCAATCTGTATCTAAATGTGAAGTGCTACATAGTGTCCTTCACAAATGTAAAATTCCCTCTGAAGTTGAGGGATGAATAAATGGTCTAAAAGGATTTTGAGAATATTTTCAAAATATGTATTTTAATCTCATAATTAGAGAAAATCTATACTTTTCAACATTAAACCATTTTCTTTTCTGATTCACTTATCTTAGACAGTAAAAAGTATTAGTCAAGTCACTTTATTTTAATCCATTGCACTTTGTTTCTTTATATTGGCAGCATGCTGCAGAGCTTAGGTTGCAAACACATTAGATGGCTGGCTGTTTTTATGTGGAAATTCTTAAAGCTTTAAAGTCACTTTTTTAAAAAGCTCTGAGAATGGTTCTGTTGCTATTAACCTCAAAGGATGTGACCTTACATGTTATAATTTCACTTGATTTCTGTTACTCTAGTTGTCAGGATCATCTAGATCTTCTTGTAATAGATCTAACAACAAGAATGTTTGCTATAAGTTGAGGAATTATCAATTGGAAGTGATCGAGAAAGAGAGGCCTGGTTGTATTGGTTGATCACAGGCTGACTATGAGTTGCCAGTGTGATGTAGTCATGAAAAAAGTGAATGCCATCCTAGAATGCATCAGAGGAGATATTTCCAGGAGATACAGAGAAGTGGTAGTATCATACAAAACACTAGTGAGACCTCATCTGGACTATTATGTGCAATTCTGGTCTCCCATGGCTAAGAATGATAAATTCAAACTGGAATAGATGCAGTGTGCAGAGAAGAGCTACTAGGAAGGTCAGAGGAATGGAGACCCAACTAAGGATGTTAAGTATCGGGTTACAGATTAATCGAATAGTCGATGCATTTTTGCATTGACTATTGATTAGTCAATAGGGCACCTCCGCCTTTGAAATGTAGCAACAGCCCTAGGGCTACACTTCAAAGGCGAAAGCACCAAAGCCCAGGGTCAGCTGGGGACTCTCCCGCTGGCCCCGGGCTCTGTGCAGTGCTGCCGCTTTGAAACACCGCACCAGTGCTTTAGAACAGCAGTGCTGCAAAGAGCCCAGGCCTCTACTACTTTGAATGCTGTGGGAAGTTGGGTGTTGGGCTCCTCGCAGCATTTCAAAGCAGCAGTGCTGCAGGGAGCCCAGGGTCAGCTGATCCCAGGCTTGAAGTGGTGCTGCCATTTTGAAATGCCACGCCAGGTTCTCCATGGAATTTTAAAGCATCAGCTCCATGAGGAGCCCAGCTCTGCAGCTGATCCTAGGCTCCATGTGGTATTTCAAAGTGGCAGCGCTGCATGGAGCCCAGGATCCTGGGCTCCATGCAGCGCTGCCACTTTGAAATGCTGTGAAGACTCTGACGTCGGGCTCCCCACGTCATTCAAAGCAGCAGTGCTGTACAGAGCAGTCCTGCTGCTTTGAAGTACGCTGCTCTTCTCTCCTCCTTTGTTGCCTCTATTTGATAGGCAGCAATGTGAGGAGAGGGGGAAGCGACTAATCCTTCACATCCCTAGAACCAACCTTATAAGAGAAGATGGAGAGCTTGATTAGCTTTTGTTTGGTCAAATTAAAGAGAGGTGTTATTCCTCTCCCTTTCTGGTATTTATCCCTCTGATGTATTTATAAAGAGCAGTTATTTAAGATAGGCATCAGTGTTGACACTTAAACAGAATACTACTGGTCATGAACAACTTCAGGGTTTATGGTTTCTAGCTATCAGAAAAGTGAAGTTTTGGAACCAGGCTTCCAAAAAGAGCAGTGTGAGACAGAAAACATTAAGGCTACGTCTACACAGTGAGTTGTCTCAGCATAAAATATGCTAATGAGGGAGTCATTTGCATGAGTCACAATCTCATTTGCATTTTTTTTGCAGTAGGGATTTTTATGCAAAAACAAGCAGTGACAATGTTTTCTTTTTGAGCAAAAACCCCTTTTTCCACAAGATCCTTACGCCCCAAAAAAGGAGGGGATTGCGCAAAAATAAAACATCTATGCTGCTTGTTTTTGCGCATAAACACCTAGCACAAAAATGGATTAGCAGAAAATATGCAAATGAGATTCTCATGCAAATGAGTCCCTCATTAGCATATTTTTTGCCGAGAAAACTTGTTGTGTAGAGGTAGCCTAACTGTCTTCAGGACTAAATTTGATAAGTTTCTGGAGAAAATGATATGATGAGACTGCCTACATGCCACTATAGTAACCCGCAGCTGCCAGTAGCAAATATCTCCAAAAACTGGGATTGGGATATTGGATTGGGGAGTTTTCTGGGCTACTATAGAGAATTTTTTCTCAGGTGTGTTTTTCGTGGGTCTGAGCCAACCTCATGGTCCAGTATAACACAGTGATGATATGAACACTAATTGCTTTTATTGGAATAAAATGTAGTTTGTAGTGAGTTTTTCAGTAGAAAGCTGAAATTTGGATATGCTCAAAGGCTAAATCAGCATAGTAAAGTGCCTGTGTAGCAACTTTCTGGCTATTTAATAACTTTATCCTTCCGTGCCCTCCCAAGTACAGCCAGGTACAACTCTACAAAGCACCAGTGTGAATCTGCCTTAGCAGTACTTTGAGTTTTTTTAAGAGAAGGCCAATGTCTAACTTATCGTCATATTTGGGGGTCAGAAAAGCATTTTCCTGGGTTAAATTGAAAGGGAGCCTGATAGCTTTTTGCCTTCAGCTACAGCATGGGTCAAGGGTCACATGCAGGTCTAAATTAGTGTAAGTGATGCATTTTCTGTAATTTAGTCTTCAAATCGCCATTTGAGGACATCAGTAACTCAGCCAGAGGTTATGGGTCTATCACACAAGTGGAGAAGTGAGATTCTCTGGCCTTCAATGTAGAGGGGATCATACAGGATAATCATGATAGTCCCTTCCGATTTATGAGTCTAAAAGCTTGTGTTTTTACAAAACTTCAGTTTTGGGCCTGAAGAGATGTGGAAGTGTCTCATTGTCTACCTTGTTTTAACAGCTATTTAGCACATTAAAATGCAGTTCTTGTAAGTCACTGATATTGTATTTCATTTCAAAGTATGACTTTATCAAGTAACAATGCTACTTTTTCTTAATGTTAGATGCAGACTACATATGTTTTGCAGAGTCTTCATCTGAAAATCCCTGAAATTTCAAGTGTCACTACCCATATTCATACGGTAAGCTGGGCAAAATATGGAGAGTGTTTTGTTCTTTTTAAATTGTTTTGTTCAATTGAAATTCCCTGAGCCAAGCAAATGGTCCAATGTAACAAGTGATGATATGAACAGTAAACGCTTTTGTTGGGGTTAAATGAACTCATTGTAATGTCAATTTTTTAGTATAAAACTAAAATTTGTAAAATATCAGAATGTATTTGTGGTTACTATCTTTGAGAGCCTGGTTTTGCTCTTCAGTGAATGCAGGTAGCTAACTTCACTGGGAATCTCCATCAGTGTTCTCTCTAAGCTGCAGGGTAGCACAGCTTCACAGGTGATTAATCAGCCCCACCCAGTAAGAGGCTCAGGGCTTCTATGCATGGAGCTTACTGAGTGGCCAGAGCTGATCAATCACATGTGAAGCTATGCTACTGCCATCTTAGAGGGTACACTGGTCTCCGTGTCTCTTGGTGGCAAAATATGGTCCTTAGAAGAGATCTGTAAATAAACACAAGTGGAACTACTCATGCTAAAAGTGAAGTATAGGCCATCTACATTACACTTAAAAAAACAGAGATTGCCCATGCCAGCTGATGGGGCTTATCAGGTTTGGGCTGTGGGGCTGCTAAATTGCAATATAGTTATTTGGGGTTGAGCACTAATTCTGGTACCCTCCTGCCTTTCAGGGTCCTAGAATCCAGGCTCCCGCTCATGCCCTACCTTCTATGGTGCAACTAAACAGCCACTTACTCTGTTACCTGCTTTGGGCTTGTTGCAGTTTTTTAAAAATGGTGTGTGAACATACCCTTAATTATATTTGCATTTTGTCTTGATTAATCAGTAATCCTGGGTGAAATGGATAATCTAGTACAGTGGTCTCCAACCTTTTTACACCCAAGATCACTTTTTAAATCTTAGAACAGGGGAAGATCTACCACCCCGCCCCTTCCTTGAAGCTCCGCCCTCTCTATTCTCCTCCTGTCCATCACTTGCTGTCCCCAGCCCTTACTTACACATTCTGATAAACAGTTTATTTTTAAATTATGCAATATATAAAATTAAAATCATGTGTTTATAGTTATGAAATAAATGGTCTGTTTTTTATTCATGCTGTTTAAATCTAAAATAAAGCATTTATACATTTTGTGGGGACGGAGTACTGTGGCTGGGGGCAGGGGAGAGGGAACAGGGTGCTGGGAGGGCAGAGGACAGGATTCTGCAGCAGGGGACAGAGTACCAGTGGGGACAGAGTTCGGGGAGTGGGGATGGGAGTGGGGACAGAGTTCGGGGAGTGGGGAAAGGGGAGTGGGGACAGTTCTGTAGCTGGGGACAGAGTTCGGGGAGTGGGGACAGGAATGGGGACAGCATTCTGTAGTTGAGGACAGGGGAGGG